TTTCTTTATGAAATTTTGCTATAATATTCTAATTTTAGCCTTATAGCAAACCCCAATCCGAACCTAAAAGAACTTTTTTTAAATTAGACGATGCTAAACTTATACACTTCTTTTAAAATTTTATACGTAGTAAGTCATTCAAATCTATAAAATATTTTTCTTTTCTAAGTATTATTTGCCATAAGACACCAAATAGGTGTATAATCTATAAATCTAAAATCATTAACTATGAGGGAGAAATATAGATCTTTTTATTCGTTAAATTTATTAATATTGACTAATTTATTTGTATTCAAACGTATTTAATAAATATTAGGCAAATCTCCAGAAGATAAACACAAGTACGTATCAATGTTTAAGATAAGCTAACTTATGTTAGTACGTATTTACATCCGTATGGACGTGTACGTATCTATATGGGATCTTTGCTAGGAAAATCACCCTTCGACATTTTTCCGTTCGGACTAATTCGGACAAATTCAAATCAATATATCAGTGCTTATTTGCATGCAAATCATTTTTGCCTTTATTGATCCAAACGTTTATTCTATAAGCTATTGAATCAATAAGGGCAAAATATGGTATGTTGATTTAAAATGTTCCGAATTAGCCCGATCGGAAAATGTCAGGATGATTTTCCTAGCAAAAATTCTATATAGTAAATTCATTATTATACTTTACAAGTTGTCATTGTTGTTTTGGTTAACGGAATTATGCTTAAGCAGGATAAATACATTACATCACGTCATTGAAACAAGGTTGTTTATTCACACAAATCAAGAATTAAGGAACTTCCAACGCAATTGCATAATCATGCATTCCACGGACTTAAAATTAGCTACTCCGGTCTTAAGTGTACACCAATATGGTACTAGAAATACTGTATTTGAAGTCATTACAGAATTAGTTTTATAAAATGCCTAAATATATTGTTTCGCATAGCGACAATAATTGATATTTCGAGAGGAGTTGCACAAGTTCGGAACACGATCCGAGGTCTGGTTGAACAATTTAATGATCATTTGTTTCATGTTTCGGAAGTTTACGGATGGGATATTCTCTTAAGAAGACAACGTTTGTCGTACAAAGTTATAAAAAAAAGGATATAATAATTTTACATCAAATATCCTACAATTTTGGTATTTATTTATGATAGGGATATAAAAACCGATGATTGGACAGTATGAGACTGTCACTATTAATAGGAATTTATTTTTCTGCGGATCTATTAAGCCAAACTCGTACGTACAGTATAAATAGGCAAATTTTTTCCGTTGAAAAAAAATCCAAAAAAAACAAAAAATCAACAGAGGTAAAAGATTTGTACAAGATTTTGAAATTTTTATTTTATTTTTATTTTATTCATATTGATTCTTTTTATTTATAATAGTAAAGCAAATTATCCTGATGAATAACGCAATGTATTTTTTGTACAAACTATATGATGGAAAGGCAGTAACACCAGGAAACGAACTAAAAATCATGTACTATGAAAATGTATATGGTTTTAGACACGCTCGTTACAACGAAAATCCCTACGCAGATCCTTATCATCCCAACTTTTACTTGGTACATGTTTGAAAGAAGGGA